AAAGTAGGATATAAGTGACATTTTTAGGATAGTCCTTGTGTTGGTATTAGCACCTAATTTTATTATATGTGTCTCGTCCCGAATATCATAATAAAAATTTCAATTAAGGCCCAAATATAAACCTTAATCGGGTGTAATATATGGCAAGTACGTTTAAATATCAACCCGGGTCGCACCATGTACCCCTACTTCGATTGTTTGAAACATTATCTAGCACTTTGTTTTTTTGGTGAAAACTACGATCTATAACTAAAACGTTGGGAAAATTAAATGGTTTGGACACTAATTGAGAAGGCTTCACCCGGGTGTTGCCCCCTAGCTAGCAATTATGACTTGTCAGACTGAATGAAAATGTGTGGTAAGGCGGTTGTAAATCGTCGGGAAGTGCAACTAGTGGACAACGCCACTCGCTCTGTCAATAGGTCAAGGGATTCCGAATCAAGCCACCAAGGTAGCTCTCTTGGCCTATCGACTAAAGGGTTGCATAAACTTCACCCTCGAATCGGAGTTCGAACGACCAAATTACAACTAACCCTAGGTGCTATTACGAATTAAGAGGTTTGCCCTAGTTTAATCTAAGTAGGAAACAAAGGTTGCCCAAGGAAATCCGACTTTTACAATCCTCTTCAAGAAGGGGATTTCCCTCTACCTCTAAGTTAAAATGGCATAAGACATTGAAATGCACAAACACAATCAATCTTCATGAAAATACCTCATAACATTGTATTAAAACACACCCTCACACAAATCATTCAATCCATACAAACATTTACATAATTATAGCTAGGGTTTACAAATAACCAAGTGAAAGAAGGGACTACTCCATGCTAGGTGAAGGGAAAACACAAGGAAGAAGAAGGAAAACCATCATGGAGATTCTAGCTTTGCTCCTTGTGTTGAAGAGATCCTCCTTTGGGGAAGGAATTCCCAAAACCTTTCTTGTTGATGAAACCCTAGCTTCTTCTCTTCTTTGATTCGTCCTTTTCTCACTCTAGAAATCTGAAGAAGAAGAAGAAGAAGAAGTTTCTCACACTAGGTCTCTCCTTTTTTTTTCTTCAGCTCAACCCTCCTTTTATACCCAGGTCGCGGTCAGTTCACGGTACCAGTTCACGACCGTGAACATCCTTCCTGGACCGTGATGTCGAGCAAATTCACACTGTTTCCCTTAGTCTGTTCACGGTATAGGGCTTTGGTTCAAGGTTTTGCGACCATGAACTGGCTAGGAGCCCACGAAGTGTGAAATTTCTTCTGTAATTTTGGCGCTTCATGGTCTGGGCGTCCTTTTCACGATCCATAAGACCCTGAAAATTCATCTTCCGCCGGGATCCTCAGTTGCTTCCAACCTTTGACTCATTTTCGCTCCCTTTTGTCCCACTTTCGATTCCGGGGTTAGTTTCACCTGCTAGGATCTGAAACATACTAAAACAAAGTGCAACCTAGTGTAAAACCACACCTCACGGAGTACAAATGCATCAAACGTCTAAGGAAAACGGGGATAAAATGTGTACAATTGGAACCTAATAAATATGATTTGTATACTTTGTAGCATATGTTTGTTTATTCTTTATTAATGATTCTTATAAATTTGTAATAAAGTTTGTATAGTTTGTGTTTTTGGTTTATATACTATTTATTATTGGTTTGTACACTTTTATATGCTAGTTTGTATGCTATCTATCATTGGTGTGAAAAAATTCATTATACGATTTGTATAATTTGTGTTATTGATTTGTATATTTTCACAATGGTTCGTATACCTTTTTTGCCATTAGCTAATTGGAATTACTAACATCAACATATAAAACATTTACATAGTCGAAATTCAACAATAGCCAAATACGGAAATTAAATCCACAAACCCACAAACAACAACGAAAGGGTCTTACTAACCACCAAATGATACACCCTGTTGTTCAACCTACCCACAAACCGAAAACTAATGCCCAAGCAAACCTCCCTCAGGTACGCAACTTCCTCCAATATGGCACCACCATTTTGATCTCTTCACATGGACGGTGAAATCTTCTACAGCACAGTCTTCGCGTCCCCTCTTATCATCACTTCGGGTACAATGGTGGTATGAACATACCAAGACTATAGGATGGTTGAATACACGATAATAGGAGTATAGTAACTTTCATCACTATGTAGCACAAGTTCCCACCCTCTATACCAGGGTGGTATAGTATGATATTTGTTCGTCCTGTATTTTTTTATCAAGAAATTTGTAAATCCAATAGATCTTAATGAACTTGTTCCTTCTGTGCAAATATTTTCAAAAATGACTTTAAAAAGAAGGAGATACCATGTGGTATGAAATTGGTAACGAGAGGTATGAAATATTTTTTCTCAAATAATCTTGAAAATTGATATAATTTTGTAGAGCACAACGAACTCGTTCCATCTGTGCAAAAAAATTTGAAATCCGATTTAGAACGAAGAAGATTAGAGCCGATTAAGAAAACAAGAGAAAATAAAATATCTATAATTCACAACCATTACATCTGGATTTTCTAGGCCTACTTAAATCCAAATGTCCAGAATGTTTGAAGGTTGAGATTCTCCAAATAGATGCATTTGTTCAATTTGTGTATTATCATTTGATGTATTGATTGAATGCATGTATTAGGAAAATACTTTGTTTGGAGGGGAAATGATGAAACAAAAGGTGGGGTAGACAATTGACACGCTATGACACAACTCCTAACAATGACCAAGTGTAACCAATGAAAGGGACCGCAGTACAGTGGAACAAGTAATAAATAACGAATCCACGGGTCTTTAGAGTTACCATTACTCAGCTTCAGTTCATTATCTAGCAAACTAGATTAAGGATTGATTAACTAAACTACTATACTAGCTAAACTAAGTAAAACTACTAATTACAGGTTGGGAACTCACTTAGGTATGATTCCCGCTACTCAATTAGGCCCAAGTTGTAATTCCCTTTGGTTGGTTTACTGTTTATTAAACTGCAGAAGATCTGATAATAGCTTGGAATCTCTTAAGCTGATGAAGTCCTCTTAGACAAAATACCCGGCGAGCGACTAACCTCCACCGAAGCTAAGGAAATACACAAAGATCTCCAATATCGGAATGAATTCCAGTACAAAGCAGTGAATTGACTGACTCTGGTACAATCAATTCCCCACTACCAATTGAGAAATCTCTCTTAACCCAATCAGATTCTATCATAATAGGTTAAAGCAGAAATCAAAGGAAAGTGATAAGGATTCCATTGATTCAACAATCATGCCTCAGTTGATTAAAACCATTCAGTATAACATCCAAAGTTTCAAACAAGAAAGATCTTAACACATGGAACTAGGGTTCCTCAAAACCTAAGTGGAGAGAAGGGTCTACTCCATTGTCCTCAATGTGGGAGTTTCATAAGAGAAGATCATGAAGGTTACCATAGGTTTGGTTGTGGGTTGGTGAAGGTACACAAGTGTATGTCTTTGTCTTCCTGGTGGTTTTCACAACGATAAACTGTATAAAGAAGAGAGGAAGACGATTAAGAGTTATAGGTACGATAGATATATAAGTACGAATACTACTAGTGCTAGAATATTTAAAATACGAAAATTAAAACGAAAATAAAACAATACTAAACATTGTTTTAATTAAAAGAAAAGAAAAGCAAAGAAAAAGAAAAGATAGAACTTAGGCCTTGGATGCCTAGTACTCAATCCAACTCAGAGAGTTCATCTTCTTCTCCAAAACAAGTACCCGATAAATGTAATCTTGAATGGATAGCAAATTAAGTTATTCTGACTTCTGAATCTTGGATCGGATAGTATCCTCGATCCCAAGTTGTGCGAAAAGTATCCAGTTGAGACATGTACTCTTGCCTAGAGGAAGTCATTGAAGCCACAGAAGTTTGGTCTTAAATTGCTTGGGGACATGTTCCAAGAAGTAGTGAGTGATGTGCTACCGACATTGGCTTGATTATCTTGGTGAATTTCCCTTGATAGATGTGGGAGAAATGATAGCGGATGTGGTTCTTCAACAACTACTTCCTATGAACGGGACTTTCTTGTCTTCTTTCGCTGGCCTTGTCGAGGACGAGAAGAGGAACTCTCACCCGAGTCATTCACTTTCTGTTGTATATTGTCCTTCAAAACAAGTAGTACACAATGCACAAACCATCAATCCTAGCATCACATATCATAAGGATAATTTTCAATGAACTAACATAAAATCTCTAAGTCCCCCCCCCCCCCCCCACATTTGAGTGAGACTAAGACTTGGGTAATAGAGGGGACTTAGATAAATATGGAGTTCTAAGACGATTGGTAATAGAATCTCCCAAATCAATGCAAAATCGAGCAAATAAGAGATAACCAATGCAAAGAAGTTGATGCTCAATGAATAGGATTGGAGAAAATGGAAACTATGTAGTTTGGGACTTTCTATGAACACCTTGTGGGTGGTCTTTAAAAACTGAAGAAATGCATGGAAATAGCTCACCAAGTTCTCCCAAAATGCATAGCATGACCATTCAAGCAAAGAAAACAATTATAGGACATCAAATAGTCATGCCAAGATGAAGATGAGCATTTCAAGATCTCAAGGCATTCGACACATGTTGAGCAAAATAAGGTGGTTAAAATATGAGGAAGTGGGAAAGTGTACCTTATCTTGCGGGGGAGTATTGGACCGGGAGAATGGGCTTATGTCACAGCGCACGTCGTAACATGAAGCCCATGCAACCTCGTCCTCTTCCGCTGCGTGCATGGTTAACGTGTTTGGGGAGCACACCAGTTCTTATGTAACCCTAACTACCTGTGGAAAGGGTATATATGATCATTGTATGCAGCTTGTGCCGCTTGTGAAAACAGAAGTAATAACATCAGTAGCCGGAGAGCTTCCCACTCTCCCATGAATTAATCCCGACTCGTCGAGTATATCACGTTAAATCTTCTGACTCGTCATTACTTTCTGTGATTGCTTGTCATATTTTACATAGGGTAATGAAAAGCAATTCAGAAAAGTTTCCCCTTTGATCACCGATTGTATTAGTTGCAATTCCGTGCCTTAGGCTTTCGCCATGTGCCAGGTGACATGTTCACACATCTCTCTCTGCAACCACTGAAGATCGAGTTCTTCCAACACAACAATAAAAGATGATCATGATAACCACCTATCGAGACAGCTAAACTGATCAATAAAAATGTCTGCTATAATACTCGGATGCATTACATAATACATAGTGGTACACTTTAGCCATAGCAAAAGCAAAATTCAGAAAGAAAGTGCTGTGGCGAAATGGAGGAATCATCCATCACTGGTCCAAGTGAATGCCAGAATCACCAGTGTCAGCACCGAGAAAACAGTCACACCAGAGAAAGTCCACATCAACCTGCTCAACCCTTTCTCCTCCACTCCTTCCTCATCCCCCATTTCAACCTCATTCAGAAGCTCCCTCACTTTTTCCATGTCGGAGTCCTTTGCGGCTTGGATCAGCCTACCTTGCACCTTCTCCAGCCTCGCAACACGTCTGCCACTTTTGCGAGGTGGCCATACAAAACCTGTCACCCTCCATAGAAGGACACCAACGTAAATTGCCACCACGCAGTCGACCGTGTAGTGGTGGCGCTCTCGTACTTCTCGTTGTGCACTGTGGAGCACGAGCATCCATATGAAAGCTGATGTAAATCCTCCATATGCTTCCTGCAAAACAGGATAGAGCAAATGTGAAATAATGTCAGCTTTTTAGAGGTTGTTTGGATGGTGGATTTGGGAGAGTGGAATTGGCCCCCAAATCAATCTCAGGAGAGATTTGAGCCCCAAATTACAGTCTTAATGTAAACATAAGATGAGTTGTTCTTAATGGAAGTTACCGTCCAAGCCATAGCAGTTAGAACTGAAACAAGCATGTGCCCGCTGAAGATAAGGTCATTACAACCACCACCGGCTTTCGTGAGTAAACCGTACCACGTCGATCTTTCTCCGCTAATTGGTCGTAAGAAATCTATGAGGAAGCTCATTCTGCCCCAATTTGGTTGATAATCTGAAGGATATTCCGGTATCTCAGCTGCCCAAATCAAAGAGCAGTGGATGATTAGTAGCTTTTTAAACAGGAGAATATGAAATACAATGCAGAAGAAGGCTTTACCATAAGCCCAATCAGATTGCAATATCTGTCGTATAGAATTAGGATCAGAGGCATAAGGGGTGTAGTATTTTTGAAGCCATGAATGAGGGTATGGAGGGACTTGAAAACGAGATGCAGCACACCAGGGTCGAGCTGATGGAAGAATTGTTGATACGAACGTCATAGTTCGAAGGAGACGTCCAATTGCCATGGTAAAGATGTACCTTGCTCCCAACCCAAGGCCAGGACCTTGTACAGAATCGAATAGGACAGAGAATCCCAGCATTATGAACAACATTAGGAAATGATGCAGCCCTACGATTCTGGCTCTCAGTAGCTCAACCCATGGTTTGGGTAGTTGCTCATTCAACCAAAGAAGGAACCACTGTCCCGGGTCAGGCAGAGGAGGCGTTTGGCTGTCAAATACAAACGGAGCCAATCAGTCCCATCTAAGAGCATAAGCTTAAGGAAGTAAGTGACCCTTGGCTCAAATTTGCTTCTTGACAATGACTTGGCAGAGAAGAAGGATTCTATATCCAAACAAGGGGACCTACTGTAATTAGGTTCTCAAACTTAATGTACATACAGGTTGTACAGCAATACTAAATTTACTTTATTCCTTGACATCTATCATTCATATCCAGGAGCCATAAAAAGGAAGAAGAGTGAAACTTACAGAAAAGCCACAGTTTTGGAGATGTTTTTCCAGAAGGGTAAAGTAAACAGCAGGGCCACACAATGGCCCTGGTTAAATGCATGTAAGAGGCAGAGAGACTTAGATCTCCCACTGCAATAGCAAATCTTCATCATCTTGTAGTCAGAAAACAAAAAAACTGATCCCAAAGAGGAAACTTTACCGCTATCTGGGAGAGGTGGAAAAAAAAGTAAATGGAAACCGTACTTAACCCATTTTAATTGGCCGGAAATCTGAACTAATTAAGCACAACCCATTCGGAAAACGAGCAGAAATTTTCCAAAAATGGAATTTGAAAAGTCGATTCACTTCTAAAATATACTGAGTTCACATCTGGGTCAGTTCATAATTCAGAAAAAGGCCAAAGTGAATCAACTAGCTATTAGCGAGCTAGAAATTTAGTTACCTTCTACCAAAAAATAAATAAAAGAAGAAGAAGAAGAAGAAATTTAGTTACTGGTGCCAATCGAGGCCGAGGGCGGCGGTCACGGAGCGAACGGAGAGGGCTTCGAAGAGGAGGCAAGCGAGAAGGAAGAGCACTGAAGCTACAAAAGGAACGACGGCGCGGAACTCGGCGACCCAGTGTTTGTAGAAGGGGACCCGCGAGAAGGCGATTACGATAAGCAGCAACCAGAGTACAGGCTGAAGTCTGTCGTGCAAAGTTGGGGAAATATGGCGGAGATAATCTACTGCTACATAGGAAATAGCAGCGATTCCTAAGCCACCGACGACGGAGGATCTGGGCGCCGGCCACAGCCTCATGGTTGACGGGGTGTTGGACTTGCTTGTGAGACTTGGGGTCTTCTTTCTTGCCACTTCAACTGTGGGGAGTGTTGTCGTGTAATAAAACTGGAAATGGGAAGATTTTAGTATGCTGCTTTTAGGACCAGATTCAAAAACCAGACATGAAACTAATCCCATCATGCGTGCAACGGGATGGGGAAAAAATAATTCCTAATAAAACACCCAAAGTTTCGTTTGAAATTTGTGATTGTTAAATAGATATATTGTTGTGTTTGAAAGTTGTGATTGTTAAATAGATATATTGTTGTAAATGTATATATAATGTTTTACATGTATTGTTGATTTTGATACATTGTAAAATACAGCGTTTGGTATATGTGATTACTCGAGCAGAAGAGTAAACTGGGGGCTCTACTGAAGAAGTATGCCCGGGCAATGGCATGGAAGATAACTGACATCAGAGGCATTAGCCTATCCTTCTAATTTTGTTGGAGGATGAGGTTAAGCCAGTCAGGCAGCCGCAACGGAGATTGACTCCTAACTTGGAGCCAGTGGTCCGGGCAGAGATTGTGAAGTTGATGGATGCAGGGATCATCTTTGTTATATCTGATAGCAAGTGGGTCAGTCCCACCCAGGTGGTCCCGAAGAAAGGCGGGATGATTGTGGTCCCGAATGAGAAGAACGAGCTGATCCCGATGCGGAACGTGACTGGCTGGAGAGTCTGCATCGATTACCGGCGCCTGAACGATGCCACAAGGAAATACCATTTTCCCCTACCTTTCATTGATTAGATGCGGGAGAGGTTGGCTGGCCACAAGTTCTACTGCTTCCTAGATGGCATGTCCGGACACTTCCAGATCCCCATCACGCCAGATGATCAGGCAAAGACCACATTCACTTGCCCCTTCGGTACTTTTGCTTACCGGAGGATTCCATTCAGGTTATGTAATGCACCAACGACCTTCCAGCGGTGTATGCTGGCGATCTTTGACCGACTTGTTGGAGTGATCATGGAAGTCTTCATGGACGACTTCTCACTTTACGGAGACTCCTTCACTTAGTCTCCATAACCTGGAACTTGTCCTGAAGAGGTGTGAGGAGAATAATCTGGCACTCAGCTGGGAGAAGTACCATTTCATGGTTCATGAGGGGATTGTGCTCAGGCACAAGATCTCCAAGCAGGGGATTAAGGTGGATCGCGCGAAGATAGAGACGATCAGTAAGCTACATCCTCCCAATTATGTGAAGGGGATTTGCAACTTTCTGGGCCATGTAGGTTTCTACAGGCGGTTAATTAAGGATTTCTCGAAGATTGCCCTACCTCTGACCAAGCTGCTGGAGAAGGATGCACCATTTCACTTCACTCTCGAGTGCATAGCTGCGTTCGAGACCTTGAAGGAGAAGCTTACCCATGCACCTATCATGATGACTCCTGACTGGTCTCTCCCCCTTGAGCTGATGTGAGATGCGAGTGACTATACAGTCAGAGCCATTCTGGGTGTTAATCTACCCGGTGTTACCTTCACGGCTCTGTACTGCCAGCTGACTCTGCCAGCTCAGGATCCCTTCACTTCTGGTCCGACAAAGGCCAGCACTATGCAAATAGAGAAACGCTTGCTCCACGACCTGCTCGCAAAGCCTTATACTTATGTGATCCAAATCCGAAGAGAACCCTCGAACTTGGATTATATAACCAAAGTACGCAGCCTTCCTTCTTTTTACGGAATTTTCGAAGCTTTTCTTGACAACTAGAAAATAAAGGATAGATATGGAACACGATCAAACAGATTCCAACTCGTGTGAAAGGCCAATTGGTATATGAAACCAATCAAACAATCACCCACTCGTGAATAAGGCCAATCGCTATTGGGTAGAAGCTCGCCACAACTAGACGCTTTCTCTAGTTGATAAGAGACACGTGAAACTCCTGGAGACTCTCGACAGAAGCTTGCACAAACGTTCACAAAGGAACACGAGTAAAAACTCTTAATTGATAACTTGAATGTTGGGTGTACAAAATTCGTAGCTCTTACACCCTCTAGTTATAGAGGTCACAAAAACATAAAACTAATCTAAAAGGAATAGGAAAACAAATCCCAAACTAACTAGGAAACATAATAATTATCTCACACATAAATGAACTAGTTAAGCAAATAAATTCCAAGTAGAGTCGCTGCTATTCTCGATGTCTGCTGCAGAAGGTTTTTCCTTCTTCTTGGCGGAATTCGAATTCCGCTGCCGCTTCCATTCTCATCACTTTAATTGCTTCCGCAAAAATGATAACTACTTTAATTAATCCAATCAAAGCAAACAACCAGATATGCTTTTCACCAACCAACTCCAAAAATCACCCATGCCAATTTTCTTCACGTGAGTTGTTGATCCCTTAATTAGAGAACATAAATCATTAACTCAATCATCCCAAATCATATGCTCCATTTCTTCACATGCACACACGTCCACTTTCTCTTTCGCGAATGAGCAGCCACTACAATTATTGTGAGTACGATTTATTCATCAAGTAAGCTCCCAATTGATCTTTATAACTTCGAGTCTGAATTTTTATTTTTGGACCACGGGAATTAAATATCGCGCTAGTCGATATCACATCATTCCCTCTCTCTTGAAGAAGATTCGACCTCGAATCTTTACAGAATCTTGATCTCTGATCACCTCCATTCTTCTTGGTCTTCCAACAAAATTGAATTGGTGAGGATCGTATTATTCCCCCTTCTTAAGAACAATTGGTCCACGAATTGCATAGATACCATTGTGATGAAAGCTCTCTACGTAGCGCTGAATTTCTTGTTGATTCTTCCGGCGAGGTGCCTCTTCTAACATTGCATCACCAATCACAAAATCAATATGAGCAACTTCGAGAACTATTGGTGAATACTCCATAATTTTCAAGCATTCATCTCCTCCCTTGAATTCTGATTCCTTAATGTATTGTTTAACTTCTTGGGCACTCAAATCTGGAATATCAACAAGAATTTCTTCTTTCACCTCTTCTGCCTCTTCTTCAACTTTCTCTTCAACTTCAAGTTTTGGTTCTTCTCGAGATGAAATCAAAGCTTGTGAATCCTCTTCACAAGTGACTATAGTAAGTCCATCAACAAGTTTGAAACTCTTTCTCCTTGTTCAAATTCTGTTGCATTTGAAGTTGATCCTCATAGATTTCTTTGGGAGATAAAGGCTTCAATACTAACTTCTGGCCTCTATGCGACCACTTGTACTTCTTGGTGACTTCATCTTGTTGTCCATTTCGATCAAACTGCCATGTTCTTCCAAGCAAAACATGAGCCTCTTCCATTGGCACCCCATCACAAAGGACTTCATCTTTATAGCGTCCAATCTCAAACTTCAATATGGCTTGCTTGGTGACCTCAATTGATCCATCTTCATTAAGCCATTGAAGAGTGTAGGGTTTTGGATGTTTCAATGTGTTTAACCCCAATTTCTTCACCGAATATTCACTCACCAAATTAGTGCAACTCTTTCCATCAATCAAAACCGATACTAGTTTACCATCCCCTAAGCATCTCGTTTGAAATTTATTATCCCTTTGCTCGAGATCTTGCTTTGAATTTGGACTCCCTATCGTCAAATGAGCTTCAGGTTGGATTATTGTTGCTGGCGCATTATTCCCCTTTAACCCTTGAAGAATAACTTCCGTCGTCTTGAGCATTTGCTTCATCATCTCCGTGAATCGTTGATTTTGCTCCATTGTTGCCTTTCAAGAGCTAACAAAAACAAAACAAAAAAACAATTTTTTTTTCTTCCCACACGTACAGCTTTGTGGCTGTAAGACAATTTTTTGTTTTTCCTTTCACGTGAACAGTACACGAAAATAAAAAAAATAAAACACAACTCTTTTTTTTTCTCACGTGAACAAAAATAAATAAAAAAAATTGTCTTACAGCCACAAAGCTGTACGTGTGGGAAGAAAAAAAAAATAGAAGCCTGCACAAAGAACTCGTTCACAATGAACTAGAACTCAACTTTGATTGATAACTTGAATATTGGGTGTACCAAATCCGTAGCTCTTACACCCTTTACTTATAGAGGTCACAAAAACATAAAACTAATCTAAAAGGAATAGGAAAACAAATTCCAAACTAACTAGGAAACATAATAATTATCTAACACATAAATAAACTAGTTAAGCAAATAAATTCCCAGTAGCGCCGCTGCTATTCTCCATGTCTGCTGCAGAAGGCTTTTCCTTCTTCTTGGCGGAATTGGAATTCCGCTGCCGCTTCCATTCTCATCACTTTAATTGCTTCCGCAAAATGACAACCACTTTAATTAATCCAATCAAAGCAAACAACCAGTTATGCTTTTCACCAACCAACTCCAAAAATCACCCATGCCAATTTTCTTCACGTGAGTTGTTGATCCCTCAATTAGATAACAAAAATCATGATCCCTCAATTAGATAACAAAAATCATTAACTCAATCATCCCAAATCATATGTTCCATTTCTTCACATGCACACACGTCCACTTTCTCTTTCATGAATGAGCAGCCACTACAATTGTTGTGAGCAAGATTTATTCATCAAGTAAGCTCCCAATTGATCCTTATAACGTCGAATCTGAATTTTCATTTTTGGACCACGGGTATTAAATATCGCGCTAGTCGATATCGCATCATATACTCTGATCAGCGAGAGTGCCAGCACCCTGACCAAGCGGTCTCTCTACTTCATCCACTTGATCCGCACTCGACACCATAACCTACACCAGGGATCTGTTGTGGCGAGGACTATCGCCAAGAGTGCACAGACTCTGGGGACCCTCCACTGTACCCCACTCATCACCGTGCTTGCCGACCATTACCAGATCCCCTATGATGATTGCACGGAGCAGAGTGGCACCTGGTTTTTCGGCGAGGACACGATCTTGAAGATGCGGTTGCTAAGAAGCTCCCACGATGTCGAGTGGGTTGAAGGCTTTCCAGTCCCCCCCCCCCCATTCCCGACCCACTCACGGATGACTAGGGAGCTGCCCCTAAGGACGCTGCACCCGAGGATGTGGACGTTGCTGCCGCCCACCCCACTTTCTACCAGAGTACTTATGAGCATAGGGGTGGCATCTCTACGTTCCCATCCCAGGATTACTTATCTCACCAGTTCCAGCAACGGAGTCTTCAGAACCAGCAGATCCTCGACCATCAGCTCCAGTTCTAGCAGCAGTACTCGGCTCAC